AATACATGTAGATTACTGAAAAACTACATTTAAAAAATTGTGGATTACGGGCCGGCCCGGTGGCGCACTGCTACAGTGCGCCGCTTGGGAGTGCGGCGGTGCTCCCGCCGAGGGTTCGGATCCCACATATAGACCGGTTCCCACTCACTGGCTGAGCGAGGTGCGGGTGCAGCACTGAGGGTTGCGATCCCGTTGCCGGTCCCGGTCCGGTACGGGCACGACACTGAGGGTTGCGGTCCGTTGCCGGACACGAAAAAAGACAAAAAGGAAAAAAAAATTGTGGATTACTAAAAAAGAAAAGTGACCACAGTACCATACCACACCAACCAATAACGATAATTCTTTAATAACATAAACTATCAGAATCAGCATTCAAACTTATCTAATTTAGGCCATTTTTAAAGAAAAACAATTTGTTCAAAGCACAATCCCAAATACGGTTTATACAGTGCAACCAATATTCTCTCTCTCTTTTATCCTTGCTATTGCTATACAAACTTTTGTTGAACACATAGTTTGTTTGACCGTAGTTTCCCCCAGTCTGAAATTGGATGATTGCGTCTCTTGGTGTTGTTTTACATGTTCCTCTGTCTCAGAGATTTCTTGTAAATTGGTAGTTACATCTAGAGGATTAATCATATTCAGGTTTCTTTTTTTTTTTTTTTTTTTAAGCCACAGATTTTGGCTTCATTGGGAAATTCTGCAGATCTGGCATTGCCCCCTGGCAACAACTGGTATGGGGCTGGGTATCGGCCATCCCCATTCCCCACCTCCTGCCCCCATCTATGTGACATGAATTCTCCAGTAGGCCCCAGTTCACAGGACTTCCGATGAGCAGTTTCACACATTTATCTTCCTGGTTCCCACAGGCATCCAAAATTGACATTCCTGTTCTAAACATTGCCTCTTCAGGGGCTTTGGGAGACGTCAGCACAACATCACACACAACAAGAGGCCTTTCAGGAATGTGGTGGACATTCTCACGTCCAGTGAAAATGATTTGGACTGGGACTTCCTTAAAATGCTTGAAGAGAAAGAGATAAGCAGCCATATGAGGGAAGCTGAGTGATAGAATTTGGTGAAAGCTCAGGATGAGGGAGAGAAAAAAAGTAAAACTGTAAATTAAATTAACAGAGTGCTGTGAGTATGGGAGGCGGAATGAGTTACAGATTCCTAACATGTGGTTGCAAACAAAGGAAGCAAGGGGGTTTAACAGAGACAGCACTTTAGTTTTCATATGACATTACAATAATATTAAAACCTTAAAAACAAAGAGAAGAGGGTAGTAAATGCTATATCGGCCAATAGTGCTAGTCAGAAAGGTCAAGCAGGCAGTTGTAACATAACAAAAATCTGTGTGGGGATTAAATGAAATGAGGTAGAATACGAGGAAAGCCTCCTAGAAAGTGGCCCTGGAAAAGGATCGGGAGCCATGCTGTGGGGGTGATGAAAACTGGTAGAAATTTAAGAGAGAAGAGAACCTTGAAATTCTTGGGATTTTTTTCTCATTTGCAATTGTATTGAAAGGAAAAGTATTATAAAGATAGAGAAAATACATCATGTTTAGTTGTTTTGAAAAGAATAAACTTTTACAGAAAAGAATATAATTATGACAAGTTGGGACGTTCCTGGAAATTTCCAGATAGTTCCCCATACTCAGAAGAATGATTAAGAGAGAGAATCTGTGACTGGTTATGAGGAAGGATGGAAAATTTTGAAGGACGGGCTGATTATGTAAGTTTTAGGCTGTGGTGTTTAAAACTGTTGCCGTGATATTTTAGAGATTAATAACAATTTGGGGAAATCTACTCGCTTCTGAAGAAACATTTGGCTCTAATGAGAAAGAAATGCCACTGTTTGTGAACTGCCAAGTGGATGTAAGGAGCCATTCACTTGCTAAGCCTCTTAGGAAAGCCAGAGCGGATTTCACCCTTAACAAGCTGTTGACAGTGTCTGATCAAGGTACCACCTGGAACATGCTAACAGTACAAGACAGTGGACTATAGGGTCAGACTTGTGTTTAAATCTCTCTCTGTCACTCACCATGTGACTCTGGCAGATAACCCATGGAAAATTTCTAAGTACCAAAAGCTGCTTTACACACAGTAGCTATGATTCTCACTGCTTGGATGGTAGGAACTTAGAACTCTGAATACTTAACTTTCAGTACTAACAACAGCCACAACAGCTTGCAACTATAGAGCACTTACTGTGTGCCAGGTACTATTGTAAATGCTTCACATGTATTATCTCATCTAATTCTCAAAAAGCCCTACAAGGTAGGCACTAATATGAAAATTAGTCCCATTTTACAGATGAGGAAGCCAAGGCCCAGGGAGGTTAAGCAACTTGGCTAAAGTGGCCTTGTAAGCAACAAAGCTGGGTTTTAAACCCAGGCAAGCTGAGTCTAGAGGCCACATGGCCTTGCTCCACCAACTTCCCCACTCCCCTCCAATCACAGGGGAGTACAAAGAACAATACTGAGTACTGGCACTTTCCAGCTCTGTTTCCTAATCCAGGTGCCTCTATTTTCTTGCAGGTCTTTGAAGAATTTTCAGAGTTTCCAAAAGCCTCATTGGAAACATATAAGCATGCAATTAGACCACAAGTTCCTTTAGGTTAATCCACTATTAACGACAGGTGAGCTCAGGTTTGTGAGCTCAGGTTTTGTGGAAGCTCTGATTGGCAGTTACATACACAAAAACATTGCAAGTTTTTGTTTTTAAACTGGGAAGAAGAATCATTACTTAATAAGTGCAATTTAGTGGAGTAGATCTTTCTGAAGGTGTGGCCTATGGAGAGAAAATAAAGTGTGCTTGGCATTGAGGAGGTTGGGAACTGTTAGTGTACGTGTGTATATGCATGTTGCCCAACCTGTCAGCCTTCAAAACTCTGCCTTTATTTTAAAATCATATGATTCTTTAATTTCCCTTGGGGTCAATATATTTTTCTTTCATTATTTAAAATGTTTTACTGGCTTTGTATTTGATATTGGAATCTACCTTATTCATCAGAATGGTCACATAGGTAAAACATGGTCAGAAACTGCGATGCAGAAGGCAAGCGCTGCGTTCCAGGCCCAAAACAGGATGTTAGGTCGTGCAAAGAACAAACCTTTTAATCCTTTTAAGTTGTAGCCTGGGAGTGAATTTTTTCCTAAAGAAAACATTTAAAGTAAGACTCAATACATCAAAACACAGGGAACATGGATGACTTTAAAACAATCGAACAAAACGTACTGCCTTGGCGCACGAGCTGCCAGCTCCACAAGGCGAGTCTGTGGCGGGCCCTCCGCACGTACTTGTTCAGTGGACAGCCCCTGGGTCGAGGGAAAAATCCCAGGGGGCCGTCAGTGCCCTTTCTTCAGAAAGAGGATCGGGTCTTTTGCGTGAAATAGTTTTCACTATTTCAATACCACGCTGGGAAAATCAGTCTAGGCCTCCTGAAAACTCTGGTAAAGCCCAGGTGACACCCTATTCCTGAGAATTTGATGCAGTCAAAACCGCACAGGACTTGCTTGGAATCCTGCTCCTCTCTCAAGCGTGCGGGGTCTGGATCGGGAGCCCAGGGCCCTTTCTGCGGACTCGGGCCTCGTGTGACAGTTACGGGGCTCTGTGGCCCTTGGAGCCCTAAGCGGGTGGTTCCCCGGAGGAGGCTGAGGCCGCTGCCTCTTGGCGGGGCCTGGGGCCCCGTGGGCCCGCGGTGAGTCCCGCCGCCCTCCCGAGGCCTCGTCCTCGGCCTGGCGGTCCCGCGGCTCCCCAGCCCGCGCGCCGAGGGTCGG